TCCCCCCCCCCCTCCTGTTGGGGGCGGGGGTTCGCGTTGCACGGGGGGGGGGGGCTTCCCCCTCGGTCCACAAAGTCAGTCTGTCATTAACTCCTCCACTTACGAACACCCCGACTTACAAACGCGCTTCAATGTAAATTCATGTTATTATATTGACAACAAGTATAACCCGTAAAAACTAAGTTCATTCACTATAAATCCTTTATATGCGTGGCGGCTAGAGTCCTCTCGTCCTCTGGCTGAGATGGCTGCCACCTATGGGTCAGATGATGTCTGCCACCATTAAGCAATTGGTAATTAAATATTGATTTGTTTTCCCTAAACAGTGTAAAAACGAACATTAATTGTCTCGCACAACGAGTCTGTGTGCAAATGTCAGCTCGATTGGATCACGGGAAGTGGGTTTAAAAAACGACCGAAAGATTTGCACGGTCCTAAGCAAGCAAGCAAGTGAATTCTTTGTTCTTTCGGTTAAGTCACGTCTAAAGATAAAATAATAAATTTAAAATAAAAGCATATTACGACGTTTCGATTGCAACACAAGCAATCATCATCAGGCAAAAAAGAAATAGCAACAAAAATCTAACTAGAAAACTGTAGACAGACATACAAGCAGTTTTCTAGTTAGATTTTTGTTGCTATTCTTTTTTTGGCCTGATGATGATTGCTTGTGTTGCAATCGAAACGTCGTAATATGCTTTTATTTTAATTTATTATTTTATCTTTAGACGTGACTTAACCGAAAGAACCAAAGAATAATTCCTGCAGTCACGAAAAGCTCCATAATTAAGATTCAAGCAAGTGAACTTAATATAAAGGATTTTAAAAACACTCAAACTATTGTCCGTTATTACACGCTTTTATTATTTAACAAACTCCGTCTGTTGTCTGAATCCTCAGAGCAGCCGCGCGAGGGGCCGGGGGGGGGGCAGGAGGGGGAGGGGCGATGGGGGAAGGGGGGGCACGGGGGGGGGGCGGGGGGGGGCAGGAGGGGGAGGGCGATGGGGGAAGGGGGGGGCACGGGGGGGGGCGGGGGGGGGCAGGAGGGGGAGGGGCGATGGGGGAAGGGGGGGGGCACGGGGGGGGGGCGGGGGGGGCAGGAGGGGGAGGGGCGATGGGGGAAGGGGGGGGCACGGGGGGGGGCGGGGGGGGGCAGGAGGGGGAGGGGCGATGGGGGAAGGGGGGGGGCACGGGGGGGGGGGCGGGGGGGGGCAGGAGGGGGAGGGGCGATGGGGGAAGGGGGGGGCACGGGGGGGGAGGGGGGGGGGCACGGGGAGGGGCGGGGGAAGGCAGGAGGGGGAGGGGCGATGGGGGAAGGGGGGGGGCACGGGGAGGGGGGCGGGGGGGGCAGGAGGGGGAGGGGCGATGGGGGAAGGGGGGGCACGGGGGGGGGCGGGGGGGGGCAGGAGGGGGAGGGGCGATGGGGGAAGGGGGGGGCACGGGGGGGCGGGGGGGGGCAGGAGGGGGAGGGGCGATGGGGGAAGGGGGGGGGCACGGGGGGGGGGGGCATCTGGGACAGTAACATTTAATTAAAGCGTGGGGGGGGGGGGTTTGATTTAAAGTTTTAATATTTCAAAAAAAAATTTGTTCACCCGGAAGCTGCACAGCCAAGTGAACTTTGCCCCGGAGAGCAGGAGCAGGAGGAGCACGTGGACACGAGTTCACATCCCAGCGCTGACCACACACGCACACCGCCACCTCGACCACGATGTCCACCCCTAGGAGGCTCACGTCCACCTTCTCCTGCCTCTCCCTGGCCACCCTGGTCGGCTTGGCCTCGGTACACGGCCAAGGAACCCCACCGTCACTTGCACCCTTAGAGCAGTCCCAGTGGACAGACGCCCAGTCCATCGCCGTGACCAGTCCAGCGATGGCCTCGTCCTCTCCTCCTCCTCCGTCTTCCTCCTCCTCCTTCTCGGCGTCCCCACCGGGACCCAGAGCTGGCGGGAGGCCGCCCCCGTGCCTGGCGCAGAGCGGCGTGGGCCGCGTCTTCAAGCGCGTCAACGCGGCCGTGTCGAGCGTCGTCTTCCTCGTGGGGAGCGTCGGCAACGCGGCGCTGCTGCTCGTTGTCTACGGGGACAAGTCGATGATGCGCGACGGGAGCAGCGTCCTCATCGCCAGCCTCGCTCTGGGAGACCTCCTCTACATCGTCATAGACATGCCCGTCTACGTGTACAAGGTGAGGATGGGGGGGGGGTAGGACGCGCCACGTGGTGCGGTGTCAATAACAACGCGAGTTCTTAGCCACGTGCTGCTGCTGCTGCTGGTGGTGGATTTGAAGATTTCGTGGCTGCAAGGATTCATACTCTTGGGTTTTTTTCGGTCAAAACATCTAAAATAATGGCCGACAACACTGGTCATCACACTTTTTCTGGCATAAGGTTTTCAACGGTTAATTTTGGGGTGCTGATTCCAAATCTGGCATCAGTTTTTGTCTATCACATCAGGTTTCTGAGATATCAAATATTTGCATTTTCAATAAAAAATGCAGAAGAAAAATATTAAATAAATGTGGATATCTACATAAAATGATATTATAAACACACTATCCTAAAAATACAGCACCATATTTTAACACTAAAACAGTCACTGACTCGCAACAACTTGCAATCATAAGTGACAGAGTTAATTTCGGGTAAAATCAATGAAAATGGGGTATGCCGATAGCATCAAAATGAGATGTGATGGAGCAAATCTGAGATCAGATTTGGAATCGGCATCCTGAAATTAGTCTAGAACAGCTGCACAAGTCCAGGCCAGAAAAACATGTTTTTTTGTTGTTGACCAGTGTAATCAGATGGGCAGAAAATCAACAACAATTCCCTCTGATGTATCCAGAAAAGCCCCAAGGAGTTTCAAGACTCTGTAGAACGAGCATCCTGCTTGAGGATGTTTGGCCAATATGTGTAGCTTCTGCACGTGATGGATTCCAGAGACCACTTTGTGGACTGCCCATCTCCAGGGCGCCTGGCAGCCCCAGTGGGTTGGGAGTTTGACAAATCTCTGCGTGACCCACCAACCCTTGCCTCCAGAGCACGGCCCCACAGGCGAGCACCAGCGTGCCCCCCCCCCCAGCTACAGCATGCGACGGATGTACAACCATCGTAGAGGTCGCGTGTTTTATATTTGCGCGATGTAATCCCAAAAACAATCCCCTTATGGATAATATTGGTCGCCAAAGTCTACGTGTGTTTGTGTACCTGTGTGTGTGTGTACCTGTGTGTGTGTGTACCTGTGTGTGTGTGTGTACCTGTGTGTGTGTACCTGTGTGTGTACCTGTGTGTGTGTGTGTACCTGTGTGTGTGTGTACCTGTGTGTGTGTACCTGTGTGTGTGTGTACCTGTGTGTGTGTACCTGTGTGTGTGTACCTGTGTGTGTGTGTGTACCTGTGTGTGTGTGTGTACCTGTGTGTGTGTGTACCTGTGTGTGTGTGTACCTGTGTGTGTGTACCTGTGTGTGTGTGTACCTGTGTGTGTGTGTACCTGTGTGTGTGTGTACCTGTGTGTGTGTGTACAAAACGCTTGCGTGTCTGCAGCCGATTAGCATGCTTGGCTATGTGTGGCGTGAAAGCGGTTTAACATACATACGTACACTTGGATACTATATACACGTAACTATATATAGACTGTCATGGTTTTTTTTCACTTTGTTGTTCTAACGTTCTGACCCCGTGCCCCTACTGGACATCTGTGAAAAAGAGCTTCATAGCTCATCGGATTCCTCCTCCAGTGTCAATACATATTCAGATTTTGTTATACAAAGAGAATATTCGCAAAAATTAATTGGCTAATATCCAGTTGTTATTCACTAACTTAGGAATATTCTGGCCAAAGTAAAGTGTAAAAACTGTTGTTATATAACAAATAGAAATGCATAGATGAAACGACGATGCCTCAATTACAAAAAAGAAATGTTTTACCCCAAGATGGTGAAGTCAACAGCGGTGTTGCCATGAGCAGGCTCGCCACTGGCATGGGAATGTGGAATTTCCACGACCGGTCGTGGCTGTAAACAGTACACGGGAGTCTCCCTGTGCTCATTGCGAGGATGCGAATTAATAAACCAATTGGCGCGTTGTTTACGTGACAAACCTTAATGGCTGTGTCGGGTGGTGGAGGGTTATGACACAACATTTCTACTTACGCGACCTAACACAAAAAACCTTTGTTGTGGTCATTAACTCGATTGACTTTTACCGCCCCCCTCCCCTCCCGCCAAAAAAGGCCTCTAAAAGTTCTGGAGACTTTTGTTGTTGAAGACGGAGACTTGTGTTGCCTCCGAAACGTCGTGATTTTATTGTTTTATTTTTATTAATTTTAAATTCATTTTTTGCATAGTCCCATGGGATGTTGGCTATCAACAACAAGGCAACTCCTATGACTAATTGGGAATGGGACGCAAGCGTAGGATTGATCACCCTGTCGCTGGCCGCCTTTGGGGAGGGTGTATAGTGTGAAAGGCCGAAACACCCTAGGAACCAAAGGTACACTACTGATGATGCGCTCCCCAAATGTCACCAGGCTAACTGTTCATGAACTCTTGGAAGTGCTTGCACAAAGGATAGTAACATCTCATCCTGTGTTCTTTGGAATCATACGTGGCTTTACCGAAAGAACTAAGAGTATAGTTGTTGTTGATGTTTGGGAGGACCCCAATTCATTTCCTCAATTAATTTCCAGAGAAAACCTGCGGGGTGCGTGCGGTGCGTTCTTATCTTTCCAGCTGCACGCCGAGAGCTGGCCATTCGGTGCCACCGTGTGCAAGACGGTGCCCTTCGTGCAGAAGGCCTCTCTGGGCGTCAGCGCGCTGAGCCTGTGCGTGCTCAGCGGGGACAGGTGAGGAGAGACCCGGCCGCTCGCCGTTCCCGTTCACGGCTCAAATCTCGGAAGCGCTCAAAGCGCTTGTTGGCGTGAACTTGGTCTGGAGAGGCCTGTTCCTGAAGACATCGTGCTCACCGCGGAGAACTGTCATGACACGATTCCCAACGTCTTGTCTCTTCTCACAATTCAAGTTCCTAGACTCAACCCACCCGCGCCCGCAACGTGGCTTCATCCCAGAGGTCGCAATAGCCACACTGCCTCCCGCATGGCCTTGTGGGAGCCTCGGTTACCGATAAAGTAATTTTATTTTAGTTGTTCTTCTAATTCCGTTCCGATAATGTACGTGTGCATGACATACGTGTACGGAATCAGAAGAAAAATGGAAATGGGTTAACTACCTCGCCTGGTATACAGGAAGTCGTGGGTTTGATCTCGACCCTGACGCCTGCTGCTGTATATTTCCAGTTTGCATATTCTCCCCGTGGTCGTGTGTATTTTTTCTCCGAGTCCTCTGGTTTTTCCCTCCAAATTAAGACAAAAAAACATGCGCTTGATTATGAATGCTATTTGGCTGCTGCTCTAAATGTCCCCACGTGATCAGCTACTTCGTTGAGCTGTCGTTTGTGGCCAGGTCGTATACAGCTGAGTGGGCCTTGCCTGGTAACATACACATAGAATAGGAACAGTCGTAGTACATCCCCAGAGTTTAAATTCCTCCTCCTCCCTCCCTCCTCCCTTCTGCTCCTTCTGTTATAAGCAGCAGGCTACAACGGTATGTTTTTAAGCAATTCCACAGCCCTCGGGGATAGCCAAACTTTAATTCAAGATAATTAATTGACGGTGTCATTCCTTGGGTGTCACCCAGAACCTCATTTCTCACTGAATATTGTCCGACTTCCTGGTAGACTGTTGTAGATGGCACCAGCGCCGTCTAGCAGCCACAGACATAGCGATCTGTCTACTGGATGTGGTGAGCCGCTGTGCGTACACATTGTTTCAGGTTGCCAAACCCGACGGACGCGGCCGAAACTAATCCCCGCTTCCCAAACATGCGGCACGTGTCACCGTGTCGACCCAGCTCGCTCCTGCGAGCGAGACCCGTCCCGCTCACTCGCGAGTTCTCGCCTCGACAAACCAACCAGCACCAACTTGGCCGCCCCCTCCTCCGCTTCAGGACCCCAAGCGATCGCCCGTTTCCCGCTCACGGCCAACACCGGTGACGATTATTTGAACCGGTCCTGGGCCTCCCATAGGTCGACTCGGCCTCAAATGAGGACGTGGTGCGGTGTGTAAACATCGCCACCGGCGAGACAGCAGTCTGTTACAGGCTACACGGGTGGGGGGGGGGGATCATTGCCTTTATCTTTGGTGGCTGCGCAGGTGTAGTAGGTGTAGTAGGTTTATTAAACGGTTCACTCAGCACAGGCCAATGTATATGTAAAGTAGTAACTCGGCAGGAGACGACTTCAAGGGTAGCACACTCTTTATTTTCACCAACTTGTAGTTACACGGATGACTAACACCCTACTTCGTTACACGGGTGACCAACACCCACTTAGCTACACGGGTGACGGACACCCACTCAACTACAACTTCGTTACACGGGTGACCAACACCCACTTAGCTACACGGGTGACCAACACCCACTCAGCTACACGGGTGACCAACACCCACTCAGCTACACGGGTGACTAACACCCACTCAGCTACACGGGTGACCAACACCCACTCAGCTACACGGGTGACTAACACCCACTCAGCTACACGGGTGACCAACACCCACTCAGCTGTACTGACACGGGCTCTTACGCCCTGTAGCCTTCCGGGACACACCCAGCCGGGGTGCCCGTCTCGGCTCTGGGTACCACCGTCCCGACCCACACGGGCGTCGGACTACGGTCCCCCCAGTCTCGGCTCCGAGCCACACAGGGCCCCTACCTCCTCCACCCCGTCTTCGGTCTTCAACTGGTTAACACTGACCACGAGTGCTCTCGCGCGTCCCCCTTTATACCCCTCCTGCGGACGTCGCTGAGAGTACTCACTTATCTGACCAATCACTGCGCACTCGCTACGATCCTCTTTTCCCAGCTTGTGTGAGCGCGCCTCACCACCGGCGCGCGCGTCCCTGCCACGCCCACACCGCGTGCCCAACCCCGCGCCCCGTGATCCATCACTCCCGGCGCACGTCAATACCACCACTACATCACCCCCTACCACATAGCTCGCAGCCGACCCGGCTGCTAATAAAACATACAACACCCCTTCACCCCCACGTGTGCCCCGTAACATAACACAAACCCTAACAACACAACATGAACACCGCAATCCGCAAAACCCAGCAACCGCCACACCCGCAACAAGAACAACATGCACAATCCGGCGAATGGCAACGATACTGTGTATGCGGAAAGAGTAACAATAAAAAAAATTTCTTTAATCATTTTCTCTTCTTTTCTCTCCGACTCATGCAGCGTCCCGATGTCCGAGCGTCCCTTGAACGGGACATTACCCCGGCAGAGGGGGAAGCCGGCAACGAAGTCGGGCTTTAACAAAAAAAAGATAAATTTTTTTTTTTTTTTTTCATGAAAAGTGTTGCGTCCTTGACCGAGTCCGCCTTGCCGGACCGTCGTACGGCACAGGACGCAGTTGGCCATCCGGCGGCGCCGGCAGTTCAGGAAGGCATGGGCCAGGCATCGGGGCTCCGTGCGAGCCGCGGGGTTCCGGTTCCCGACGGTCAACAGCCGTCAGGTCCGAGACACCGGGTTCAGTTGGGATGTCTTGAGTCCCTGGTCGTCGTCCGGACGTGGTCCCGCGGTGCGTTGACGCGGGGCCCGGCACCCGGCCGCGACGTGGCCCCGAAGGCCGCAGTTGTAGCAGACGACGAGGGACGTCGTAGGTTTCGGTTGCTCCAGCTTGCGGGAGGAGCGTGTGGGCGAACGACCTCCCGGTCTCCACTCCCCCGGCCTCGAACCAGCGAAGGCCTCCTCCCGAGGCACAGCAGGCTGGGGTCCGCTGATCGTGGCGGCCGGTGCCCCGTTCTCCACCGATGCGCAGACGACCGTCGGCTTCCGCTGTAGGACCTCGTAAGCGTGGATACTCGTGGCAATCCCCAGGGAGCAGATGTCCATCTCGTCCGCCGCATTAATGGGAACTCCCAATCCGTGGGCCAGCGCCAGCAGCTGCTCCGTCACCATGGCGTCCTTCCCCTCCTTGTCCATGCGGGGAAAAGCTGAATCCGCCAGGGCGAGCAGCGCCGTGCGATAGGCGAGCGTTGTTTCTCCAACCACCTTCCGCCGATCGTAGAACTGGTGGCGACAGGTCGAGGGCGGCCCGAACACCTTGGCCAACAGGTGCAGCGCGGCCTGGAGCGTTGAGCGGGACGACCTCGGGGCAGACGTGAAGGCCGCAAGCGCGTCGTCGTCGAGCATCGCTGGCAGCGCGCGCAGGGCCGTGGTGTCGGACCACCCCGACATTTCTTGATGCGCGATGAACCGTCGCTGGAAGGCTCCCCAGTCGCCCCCGTCCGCCTTGAACACCGACAGCGCGGGCAATCGTTGCTGGAGAACTCGATCGTCGTCGTCGTCGTTGGAACGATTTTCCCGCGCGCTGCTGTGGTTGTAGAAAATGTCGGCTCCCTCTGCAGGCGCAAAATGGAGAGCTCCGGCGCTCGCCGATGACGCGGGCTGCGCTGTGTGGAGACCTCTGGCCACGTGGTGTCCGCGTTTCCCGCCAACCGGAGGCGGACCCTCAAAAATGGCGCCAACTCCCAAACTTTTGGCGCGAAACGCCTTATGGCGGGAACCCTCCAGCCGCGCCGCCTCTTCCAACCCCGCAGGCGTTCCACCGGCCGCTGGAACGGAGATCTCCGCCAAGATCGCAGCGGCGGCGAGCAGCAACTCCGCCAGGCGGGAGTGTGCGTCCTGCAGGCTGGTGTCGGAGGCGGGCGGAGCATCGGCCATTTCCGCGAAGTGCTGCATCGGCGGCAACTCCTCGTCTTCTCCTCCCGAGGGTGGTGTCACCGGTACGTCGTCGTCTCCCCGGTCTTGCACGTGGGAACGAGAAGTCTTCCTTGTGTCCATTCTCCTTGAAGACAGGTTTACTTCTGACGCCAGTTGTAAAGTAGTAACTCGGCAGGAGACGACTTCACGGGTAGCACACTCTTTATTTTCACCAACTTGTAGTTACACGGATGACTAACACCCTACTTCGTTACACGGGTGACCAACACCCACTTAGCTACACGGGTGACGGACACCCACTCAACTACAACTTCGTTACACGGGTGACCAACACCCACTTAGCTACACGGGTGACCAACACCCACTCAGCTACACGGGTGACCAACACCCACTCAGCTACACGGGTGACTAACACCCACTCAGCTACACGGGTGACCAACACCCACTCAGCTACACGGGTGACTAACACCCACTCAGCTACACGGGTGACCAACACCCACTCAGCTGTACTGACACGGGCTCTTACGCCCTGTAGCCTTCCGGGACACACCCAGCCGGGGTGCCCGTCTCGGCTCTGGGTACCACCGTCCCGACCCACACGGGCGTCGGACTACGGTCCCCCCAGTCTCGGCTCCGAGCCACACAGGGCCCCTACCTCCTCCACCCCGTCTTCGGTCTTCAACTGGTTAACACTGACCACGAGTGCTCTCGCGCGTCCCCCTTTATACCCCTCCTGCGGACGTCGCTGAGAGTACTCACTTATCTGACCAATCACTGCGCACTCGCTACGATCCTCTTTTCCCAGCTTGTGTGAGCGCGCCTCACCACCGGCGCGCGCGTCCCTGCCACGCCCACACCGCGTGCCCAACCCCGCGCCCCGTGATCCATCACTCCCGGCGCACGTCAATACCACCACTACATATACAACACTCGCAGGGGTATCGGCCCCTTTACCCGTCTAACAGGGAGATCCCACAATCTATGTCACAGCTAGCCTACTCCCAGGTCCTCCACTCGAGAGCTAGGGGAGGCTAGTGATCCAGCTCTGGCCAAGCTGGGATCACGGCACCCTGAGTCACCAGACCGGCCCCTTCACCCGTCTCACAGGGAGACCCCACTGTCTCCAACCTGGCTAGCCTACTCCCAGGTCCTCTACTACGAGGCTAGGGGAGGCTAGCTGACCCAGCTCTGGCCAAGCTGGGATCACGGCACCCTGAGTCACCAGACCGGCTCTTACAAGAACATCAGCTCTGGGCTCTGGGGGCCACGCCACTGGCTTGCCCTGGTCACTCCTTAGAAGCACGGCGATCCAGGGGAGTCCCAGGGCCTATCTAGCCGGTCTTCTCTCTTCACTGGTTAAAGCTGAACACTGAACCCCGAGCCCACCGGCTCACCGCCTTATATAGCAACTCCCCCCCAAGGGGTGGTGCCGTGGGGGATCACAGCGCCATTACAGCCCCCCAGGGCTAACCGATGCGGACGTGGATGTAAGCATCTTTCCGCGTGCAGGCACAACCACCCCCGGTGTGTTTGTTCGCCCTCCCGTGACCCCTCTACGCAGGTACCGTGCGGTCGCGCACTGGGACCGCCTCCAGGGCGTGGGCCTCTCCCTGCTCACGGCGCTTAAAGTCCTGGCCATCTGGACGCTGTCGCTGGTGCTGGCGGTGCCTGAGCTCCTGGCCTTCGACACGCTGTCCTGGGAATACCGCAACCGGACGCTCGACACGTGCATGGTCATCCCGCAGACGAGCTTCGTGGAGGTGCGACACGGCGCGTCAAGAACGTGGCAACCACCGGCGTCGCCGTAACCGTGGGGGGGGGGGGGGCGGGGTGGTTTCGCAAACTCCGGTCGGCACAAACGGGGATGTGAATCGTCACCGAATGTTTTTTGTCCGGGTTGCTGTACTCGTACCCGGCCGCACCAGGGTCGCAAATGGGTACCCGTACCCGTATCCAGTCGTACCCGTACCCAGCCGGGTATGGGTAGGGTACGGGTATCGGGTACCCGATTGCGACCTCTGGGATGAAGCCACGTTGCAGGCTCGGGTGGGTTGATTCTAGGAACTTGAATTGTGAGAAGAGACAAGACGTTGGGAAATGAGTGACAAACGGTTACTCACCAGTGACTCACGGCCTACCCGTACCCGGCCGCACCAGGGTACGGGTAGTCGGGTATCGGGTAGGGTACGGGTATCGGGTACCCGATTGCGACCTCTGACACACGGTCTGTCTTTCAGTCACTCACAGAGACAGGCAGCTAATTAGATACTCCACCAACCCTGTGCTCGGCTATCCCACGAGGAGATTTGTCGCCCCGCCTGACTCTGACGAAACCTCTTGTCTGGGCCCTCGCAGTTTTACGCCAAAGCCAAGGACTGGTGGCTGTTCGGCTTCTACTTCTGCATGCCGCTGGCCTGCGCGGCGGTCTTCTACACGCTCACGACCGTCGAGATGCTCGGGATGAAGAAGCGAAACCTTGGCAGCGCCATCGACGAGCACCTCAAGCAGGTGTCGAACCTCGGGACCTCCCTCCGGTACCGCCGGCCCCATCGGCTAGAGGCCGAACGGCTCCCCGTGGTTGTGCGGTTACGTAACCGATTTGCGGTGGCGGGCAGGAGGGGAGGGAGGGGTCCGTGACGTTCGCTCTCCGACTTTGTCACCGAACGATTCGTGAAACTGCGAGATGTTGATTCGACGGATGTTTGCGTGTGTTTGCGTGTGTATGTGCGTGTGTGTGTACGTGTGTGTGTGCGTGTGTGTGTGCGTGTGTATGTGCGTGTGTGTGTACGTGTGTGTGTGCGTGTGTGTGTGTGCGTACGTGTGTGTGTGCGTGTGTGTGTACGTGTGTGTGCGTGCGTGTGTGTGTGTGCGTGTGTGTGTACGTGTGTGTGTGCGTGTGTGTGTGTGCGTACGTGTGTGTGTGCGTGTGTGTGTGTGTGTACGTGCGTGTGTGCGTGCGTGTGTGTGTGTGTGCGTGTGTGTGTGCGTGTGTGTGTGCGTGCGCGTGTGTGCGTGCGTGTGTGTACACACAGCAACGGGAGGCAGGCAAGGCGGTGTTCTGCCTGGCGGTGGTGTTTGCGCTGTGCTGGCTGCCGCTGCATCTCAGCCGCATCCTCAAGAGAACCGTCTACGACGAGATGGACCCCAACCGCTGCGAGCTGCTCAGGTGGGGGGGGCACCCCCGAACCGTCCCCCCCCCCCCTCTCTCCCTCTCTACTCGTGCCCTCCTCGTCCCATGGGAGAATGAAGAGTCAATTGTATCGTCTTCGCGTGAATCAGAGGTCGCAAACGGGTTTTGATTCCTTACCCGTACCCGTACCCGGCCGCACCAGGGTCGCAAACGGGTACCCGTACCCGTACCCTACCCGTACCCTACCCGTACCCGTACCCTACCCAGACCCTACCCGTACCCAGACCCTACCCGTACCCTACCCGTACCTTACCTGTACCCTACCCGTACCCTACCCGTACCCTACCCGTACCCTACCCGTACCCGGCCGGGTACGGGTAGGGTACGGGTATCGGGTACCCGATTGCGACCTCTGGGATGAAGCCACGTTGCAGGCGCGGGTGGGTTGATTCTAGGAACTTGAATTATGAGAAGAGACAAGTCGTTGGGAAATGAGTGACACACGGTGACTCACCAGTGACTCACGGTCTACCCGTACCCGTACCCGGCCGCACCAGGGTCGCAAACGGGTACCCGTACCCGGCCGGGTACGGGTAGCCGGGTATCGGGTAGGGTACGGGTATCGGGTACCCGGTTGCGACCTCTGGCGTGAATATCGCAGCAGCAGCAGCAGTGATAATACCAATCGCAACCACCACGCCCTGCGCGTGGAACTTCTTTGGCACCGTACGTAGCCGAGCGCACTCACCGCAGGTGCGGGGGAAGGACGACGAACTGAACGCGAAGTGTTCTTTGCGAAGAGGCGTCGTTCTCAATCTACTTTGCAAACGACGCCCTTGGCAATAGAATACACTCAGCGAGTGTCAAGAGTGGGGTTTGTTTTAGGAGCGTCCTGCTCTGTCATGTTTCACCAATGCCAATGCCCCCCACCCCCCCCACTCCATCCAGCCCCGCGTTTCCTCCAGGGCGTTGTTGTGAACGTCCGACGCACCCGCTACACCCCCCCCCCCCCCCCCCCCGGTGGCTTGCTTCTCACACGGCCCCCTTAACGCGAACAACGGCACGTGGCCGGTGAACGAGCGCAGCTGGATCGCGTCACGGATCGTGTCACGGATCGTGTCACGGATCGTGTCATGCGAGCGGCGTGGTAAACGAGGGGGGGTGGATGGGACCCCCCACAAAACATCGCAGCTCAACAGCGTGGGGAGGCGGGGGGGGGGCGTCTCGCCGGACCGAGGACACTTTGCACTCATTAGCGTAGTTTGCTGTTGCGACGTTCTGTCGCGCCCCTACGGGACAGCTGCGGGGAGAGAGCTTCGTAGCTCATCGGATTCCTCCTCCAAGTCCAAATCAATATTGAGATTCTGATCCGATCGCGATCACCGCTTCACCGGCGTGTCGTTGTCACGCCGCTCGGAGCGTGGCTGTGTTCGTCACGGTTGGGCTACGGGTGCATTCTGTGCGTGGCCCCGATGCAATGTGAAGGTCTCCTGGCTCCTGATTCACAACGGGTGTGTCCTCTGCCGCCATCACCACCACCGCCCCCTGCAGCTTCCTGCTCGTGCTGAACTACATCGGCATGAACCTGGCGACCCTCAACTCGTGCGTCAACCCCGTCGCCCTCTACGTCGTCAGCGCAAAGTTCAGGAACCGCTTCAAGGTGCGTTTGGTGGCGTCGGCCACGTTTCTGTCGTCACGTTTAGATCATGGGGGGGGGTGCTTCTCAATCGCCGGCGCTCGGGAACCACGACAACAACAACAACATCAACAACAACAACAATCACCGCTGGTGCACAGGTCTGACGATCGCGTCGCACGTTCGCGTGACGAATTCCAACTGATACGGGTCTCGTGAATTGATGCGTATCTACTACGTGTTTGTATGCAAGTATGTATGTTTGCATGTGTGTACGTGAGTGGGTGTGTGTTAAGGGGAGCGGTGGTGTAGCGGTTAGTGTTAACCAGAGGTGCGGGGTAAGGACAACAAACTAAGCACAAAAAGCAGTTCTAAAGAAATGAGTTTGTCAACGTGGATAATTTAAAAGTGCGTAGCTCCAGTGGCTTCCTATTATCGGAAGAGCGTTGCAGACGGCCGCAGAAGCGCGTCTGAAAGCGCCGCGCGATGCGGTGATCCCCACCGCCGCCTGTGTTCGATGGCGAGCAGTCAGAAGCCACCGCTGCCGCTGCTGCTGCTGCTGCCGCCGCTGCTGCTGCTGCTGCTGTGAGGATGATGAGCGGAGTTGGCGCGATGGGTTGACGCTCACTTGACGAGATCGGCGAAGGTGTCGCGGTTCATGTGTGGCGAGCGCTTTGCGTGCGGCGAGAGCGAATTTGACGTCGCTCGTCGCAGTGCCGACCCTCCTCGCTCCAACTCTCTCTCCTCCTCCTCCTCCTCGTCGTCGCCGCCGTGCACAGTCCTGCCTGTGCTGCTGCTGGGCGACAAGCAGACGGCGCTCCAGCAGAAGGCCGTGGCGGCGCCGGGCAGCCCGCTCGGCCGCAGCAACTCCCGCTCCAGCAACAGGTTCATCGTCACTTGAGCTGAGCTGGCCCCCCCCCCCCCCCCGCGGGATGTGGATGGAGGGGAGGTGGGAGAAGAGTTGCCGGGGGGGGGTGGGGCAACGGGGGCCGAAGTGAACTAGACAGCCGTGGCCACGTGGGCCAGGCGACCGGCTTGGCTGGAGGACGGTGAAAGCAAACGACGCGAGCGGCTTAGCGAGGCAATCGCGGTCGGTCGCGTGACGTGCGCTTGCACGGCTTGGTGCGACAGACAGCCAGAGAGAGGGAGCAGAGATGATGGGGGGGAGGTGTTTAAGCACTCGCTCGAGCGGAACGAGCGCGTGCCGCCATCTCGCCCAGCTGGGCTGCTTCTCCACGGCCTGGGGGGTCCCCCCTCGCTCGCTCACCCCCCTCCCTGTCTCCACCCCCCACCCCCCACCCCCCACCCGGGTCTCTCTTGCTTAGACGTCGACGTCGCAGCAACACGGCAGGGGGAGCGCTCGCTCGCCAACTGTTGATGCGACTTCATTTTATTTGTTGGCCTCCTTGATGCTTTCACTTGTCCAACTTTGGCTGTCCCTTGGCACGATCAAGCGCAGCGTACGGACGTTAACAGGATGTCGCTGGCTGGGTTCTGGCCGGCGCCGGTCTCTTTTGCAAAGTAGTCGAAAGAGCCGAAGAACCGGGGTAATGTTGCAGTGGTGGGACTTTACTTCCGTTAGCTACGTACATACAGTTGCAATCATACGTGTGTGTCACGTTTTTGTCATATAGCATCAATGGGCAGAGTTGCTTTCAAGAGGCACACAAAAAATATTGTACGTTCAAATAAACAACGTCTACGCAACATGTCTGTGAATACATGTAAATAGACATTTACTGATGGATGCGCCTGTGTGTGTGTGTTCAAACATGCCGCACACGTACACGTGAAGCAACAGCGGTGTTTTTAAATCCTTTATATTAAGTTCGCGTGCTTGCGTGCTTGCTTGCTTGCTTACGACCGTGCAAACCTTTCGGTCGTTTTTTAACCCACTTCCCGTGATCCAATCGAGCTGACATTTTGCACACAGACTCGTTGTGCGTGACAATTAATGTTCGTGAAATTTTTTTTCCAAAATTTTACACTGTTTAGGGAAAACAAATTAAATATTTAATTACCAATTGCTTAATACTGGCAGACAATCAGCTGACCCATAGGTGGCAGCCATCTCAAGCCAGAGGACGAGAGGACTCTAGCCGCCACGCATATAAAGGATTTATAGTGAAAACGTTTTTTAGGGTTAATTTTTTTAATATCGAGGTGTCGAGAGAGGGCCACACATGTGAAGGCTTACGCAGCGAGAAAGAGCGAAAGCATCGGGGTTAAGAAGAGAAGAGTGACAGAGTTAGAGAGATCGTGCAGGGGAGGAAGGGAAAACGACGTAGAACAAGAGACGGAAGAAGACAGAACAAAAGAGCTCATTCTCATGAGAGCAGATGAACAGATTATCTTAATAAGTATAACCCGTAAAAACAAAGTTTTTCACTCTAAATCCTTTATATGCGTGGCGGCTCGAGTCCTCTCGTCCTCTGGCTTGAGATGGCTGCCACCTATGGGTCAGAGATGATTGTCTGCCACCATTAAGCAATTGGTAATTAAATATTTAAAAGAAATTGCCTAAACAGTGTAAAAATGTAAAAAAAAAAATTCACGAAAATTGTCACGCACAACGAGTCTGTGTGCAAAATGTCAGCTCTATTGGATCACGGGAAGTGTGTTAAAAAACGACCGAAAGAGTTGCACGGTCGTAAGCAAGCAAGCAAGCGAACTTAATATAAAGGATTTAAAAAAGAGCTTATTCTCATGAGAGCAGATGAACAGATTATCTTAATAAGAAAGCAGTGGTTGTGTGTGTGCTGTGCGTGGTGGTGGTGGTGGGTGGTGGTTCCCCAGCTGTCCGCGTGAAAGCGAGAGAGATGAGGAGGGAGAGGGAGAGAGATGGGGCCACGGGACAGACAGACGGGCAGGTGGGGAAGCTTTCCGAGGGTCGATAAGTCACGTGACCTGACGGCTGGACGGGCTGTCACGTGACCCTCAAGCAAGAAACTCAGGTTCAGGCCTGTCCCTAATGTACACTTGCAATTACAAACATCAACACACAACAACAACAACAGTCATTCGCCACTAAGTGGCGGAGACGTCACCACGACGCTTGTGCCAGGCCAAGTGCACCTTGAGGCCACGTGAAGTGTCGAACGCCCGCTGGCAGGAGGTCACGGGGCAGACCCAGCAGGTGCCACGGGTCGACTGACTGAGACGAGTGGCTGATGCACCATCTGTGCCCCCTACTGTGCCAACTTGCTGTGCTTTAGCCACCCGGCGCTCCGCTCGTTGTGAGCGTCGCTCCTCCGCCCTCCGTTGTTGTTGGAGGGCGACTGCCTCCAACTGCCCAGTAGCGTCCTTCACGAGCCTCCTCCACTGAGGCCGATCTTGACACCGCTGGTACCAGTCATCGGCAAGTCCACTCAGCTCCACGTCCTCCTGTACCACATCACTCCATCTCTTCTCTAGCCCATGCCGCGCCCGTCTAGCCCCCTCGATCCGGCCGAACAAAAGCTGTTTAGGCATGCGGTGGCTGGGCATGCGGGCTACATGACCCAGCCAACGCAGCCTTGCCTGCCGGAGGAGCTCACTGATGGGACTTTGCCCAGATCTTTCAAGGACTTGTGAGCTCCTCACACAATCCAGCCTGGTTAAACCCAGGATGGATCGTAGGCAGGCCAGCCTAAATGTTTCCAACCGGCGAAGATGCTCCACTAGGGGGGTCCACGTTTCGCAAGCGTAGAGAAGGGAGGGAATGACCGTGGCTGAGAAGACCTGAAGCTTCGTGCGGAGCGACAGACCAGGTAGCTTCCACACAGCGTTACGCAACCGATGAAAAGATATTGCCGCTCGACTGATTCGGAGTGAGACCTCTGCTGATAAACTGGAGCCGGTCATAAGCACGCTGCCCAGGTATGGGAAACTCTCCACTCTCTCCACAACTGCCCCATCACCAATTGGGAGTTGTGGGGGTGGAGTGTCCGATGGTACAAAATACCCAGGCAGATGTTTCGTTTTGGTGGGGCTGATGGTAAGGCCCCACCTCTTAGTGGCACGCTCCAGTCTCAGCAGCAGCGTCTCCAACTCCTCTTCTGAATGAGCAGCTATTACCAAATCATCGGCATACATAACATGGTTGACCAATAGGGAGCCATCCCTTGATCGCACCCGGGCGTCGATCAGCCTCCCATTATATCTGTACCAAATGGAAATTCCCCCGGTACAGCTATGGAAGGCTTCACGAACTACGCGGTCAAAATAGATGTTAAATAATGTGGGAGCCAGAGGACATCCCTGTCGCACCCCAAGGTGTACAGGGAAAGGCTCCGACTCCCGGCCACGTAGTTTTACCCGGGCCCGCTCACCATCATGAAGGTCCTTAATGATCGTGAGCAGAGGGTCAGGGACTCCGAAAGCACGAAGAACAACCCAGAGCCCAGTCCTACTGATGGTATCATAGGCCTTGACCAGGTCAATAAAGCAGAGATGTAGGTCTTGTTGGAATTCCCTACACCTCTGCTGTAGCAGACGGACAGAAAATATGGCATCTGTGCAGGACCGCCCTTTCCTGAAACCGCATTGGGGCTCCGCAAGCCTCTCCTCAGCGTGCCTAGCAAGTAATCCTTGCCAGGACCTTACCCGGCACACTGAGGACCTCTGACACACGGTCTGTCTTTCAGTCACTCACAGAGACAGGCAGCTAATTAGATACTCCACCAACCCTGTGCTCGGCTATCCCACGAGGAGATTTGTCGCCCCGCCTGACTCTGACGAAACCTCTTGTCTGGGCCCTCGCAGTTTTACGCCAAAGCCAAGGACTGGTGGCTGTTCGGCTTCTACTTCTGCATGCCGCTGGCCTGCGCGGCGGTCTTCTACACGCTCACGACCGTCGAGATGCTCGGGATGAAGAAGCGAAACCTTGGCAGCGCCATCGACGAGCACCTCAAGCAGGTGTCGAACCTCGGGACCTCCCTCCGGTACCGCCGGCCCCATCGGCTAGAGGCCGAACGGCTCCCCGTGGTTGTGCGGTTACGTAACCGATTTGCGGTGGCGGGCAGGAGGGGAGGGAGGGGTCCGTGACGTTCGCTCTCCGACTTTGTCACCGAACGATTCGTGAAACTGCGAGATGTTGATTCGACGGATGTTTGCGTGTGTTTGCGTGTGTATGTGCGTGTGTGTGTACGTGTGTGTGTGCGTGTGTGTGTGCGTGTGTATGTGCGTGTGTGTGTACGTGTGTGTGTGCGTGTGTGTGTGTGCGTACGTGTGTGTGTGCGTGTGTGTGTACGTGTGTGTGCGTGCGTGTGTGTGTGTGCGTGTGTGTGTACGTGTGTGTGTGCGTGTGTGTGTGTGCGTACGTGTGTGTGTGCGTGTGTGTGTGTGTGTACGTGCGTGTGTGCGTGCGTGTGTGTGTGTGTGCGTGTGTGTGTGCGTGTGTGTGTGCGTGCGCGTGTGTGCGTGCGTGTGTGTACACACAGCAACGGGAGGCAGGCAAGGCGGTGTTCTGCCTGGCGGTGGTGTTTGCGCTGTGCTGGCTGCCGCTGCATCTCAGCCGCATCCTCAAGAGAACCGTCTACGACGAGATGGACCCCAACCGCTGCGAGCTGCTCAGGTGGGGGGGGCACCCCCGAACCGTCCCCCCCCCCCTCTCTCCCTCTCTACTCGTGCCCTCCTCGTCCCATGGGAGAATGAAGAGTCAATTGTATCGTCTTCGCGTGAATCAGAGGTCGCAAACGGGTTTTGATTCCTTACCCGTACCCGTACCCGGCCGCACCAGGGTCGCAAACGGGTACCCGTACCCGTACCCTACCCGTACCCTACCCGTACCCGTACCCTACCCAGACCCTACCCGTACCCAGACCCTACCCGTACCCTACCCGTACCTTACCTGTACCCTAACCGTACCCTACCCGTACGTGAAACTGCGAGATGTTGATTCGACGGATGTTTGCGTGTGTTTGCGTGTGTATGTGCGTGTGTGTGTACGTGTGTGTGTGCGTGTGTCGCAATCGGGTACCCGATTGCGACCTCTGGGATGAAGCCACGTTGCAGGCGCGGGTGGGTTGATTCTAGGAACTTGAATTATGAGAAGAGACAAGTCGTTGGGAAATGAGTGACACACGGTGACTCACCAGTGACTCACGGTCTACCCGTACCCGTACCCGGCCGCACCAGGGTCGCAAACGGGTACCCGTACCCGGCCGGGTACGGGTAGCCGGGTATCGGGTAGGGTACGGGTATCGGGTACCCGGTTGCGACCTCTGGCGTGAATATCGCAGCAGCAGCAGCAGTGATAATACCAATCGCAACCACCACGCCCTGCGCGTGGAACTTCTTTGGCACCGTACGTAGCCGAGCGCACTCACCGCAGGTGCGGGGGAAGGACGACGAACTGAACGCGAAGTGTTCTTTGCGAAGAGGCGTCGTTCTCAATCTACTTTGCAAACGACGCCCTTGGCAATAGAATACACTCAGCGAGTGTCAAGAGTGGGGTTTGTTTTAGGAGCGTCCTGCTCTGTCATGTTTCACCAATGCCAATGCCCCCCACCCCCCCCACTCCATCCAGCCCCGCGTTTCCTCCAGGGCGTTGTTGTGAACGTCCGACGCACCCGCTACACCCCCCCCCCCCCCCCCCGGTGGCTTGCTTCTCACACGGCCCCCTTAACGCGAACAACGGCACGTGGCCGGTGAACGAGCGCAGCTGGATCGCGTCACGGATCGTGTCACGGATCGTGTCACGGATCGTGTCATGCGAGCGGCGTGGTAAACGAGGGGGGGTGGATGGGACCCCCCACAAAACATCGCAGCTCAACAGCGTGGGGAGGCGGGGGGGGGGCGTCTCGCCGGACCGAGGACACTTTGCACTCATTAGCGTAGTTTGCTGTTGCGACGTTCTGTCGCGCCCCTACGGGACAGCTGCGGGGAGAGAGCTTCGTAGCTCATCGGATTCCTCCTCCAAGTCCAAATCAATATTGAGATTCTGATCCGATCGCGATCACCGCTTCACCGGCGTGTCGTTGTCACGCCGCTCGGAGCGTGGCTGTGTTCGTCACGGTTGGGCTACGGGTGCATTCTGTGCGTGGCCCCGATGCAATGTGAAGGTCTCCTGGCTCCTGATTCACAACGGGTGTGTCCTCTGCCGCCATCACCACCACCGCCCCCTGCAGCTTCCTGCTCGTGCTGAACTACATCGGCATGAACCTGGCGACCCTCAACTCGTGCGTCAACCCCGTCGCCCTCTACGTCGTCAGCGCAAAGTTCAGGAACCGCTTCAAGGTGCGTTTGGTGGCGTCGGCCACGTTTCTGTCGTCACGTTTAGATCATGGGGGGGGGTGCTTCTCAATCGCCGGCGCTCGGGAACCACGACAACAACAACAACATCAACAACAACAACAATCACCGCTGGTGCACAGGTCTGACGATCGCGTCGCACGTTCGCGTGACGAATTCCAACTGATACGGGTCTCGTGAATTGATGCGTATCTACTACGTGTTTGTATGCAAGTATGTATGTTTGCATGTGTGTACGTGAGTGGGTGTGTGTTAAGGGGAGCGGTGGTGTAGCGGTTAGTGTTAACCAGAGGTGCGGGGTAAGGACAACAAACTAAGCACAAAAAGCAGTTCTAAAGAAATGAGTTTGTCAACGTGGATAATTTAAAAGTGCGTAGCTCCAGTGGCTTCCTATTATCGGAAGAGCGTTGCAGACGGCCGCAGAAGCGCGTCTGAAAGCGCCGCGCGATGCGGTGATCCCCACCGCCGCCTGTGTTCGATGGCGAGCAGTCAGAAGCCACCGCTGCCGCTGCTGCTGCTGCTGCCGCCGCTGCTGCTGCTGCTGCTGTGAGGATGATGAGCGGAGTTGGCGCGATGGGTTGACGCTCACTTGACGAGATCGGCGAAGGTGTCGCGGTTCATGTGTGGCGAGCGCTTTGCGTGCGGCGAGAGCGAATTTGACGTCGCTCGTCGCAGTGCCGACCCTCCTCGCTCCAACTCTCTCTCCTCCTCCTCCTCCTCGTCGTCGCCGCCGTGCACAGTCCTGCCTGTGCTGCTGCTGGGCGACAAGCAGACGGCGCTCCAGCAGAAGGCCGTGGCGGCGCCGGGCAGCCCGCTCGGCCGCAGCAACTCCCGCTCCAGCAACAGGTTCATCGTCACTTGAGCTGAGCTGGCCCCCCCCCCCCCCCCGCGGGATGTGGATGGAGGGGAGGTGGGAGAAGAGTTGCCGGGGGGGGGTGGGGCAACGGGGGCCGAAGTGAACTAGACAGCCGTGGCCACGTGGGCCAGGCGACCGGCTTGGCTGGAGGACGGTGAAAGCAAACGACGCGAGCGGCTTAGCGAGGCAATCGCGGTCGGTCGCGTGACGTGCGCTTGCACGGCTTGGTGCGACAGACAGCCAGAGAGAGGGAGCAGAGATGATGGGGGGGAGGTGTTTAAGCACTCGCTCGAGCGGAACGAGCGCGTGCCGCCATCTCGCCCAGCTGGGCTGCTTCTCCACGGCCTGGGGGGTCCCCCCTCGCTCGCTCACCCCCCTCCCTGTCTCCACCCCCCACCCCCCACCCCCCACCCGGGTCTCTCTTGCTTAGACGTCGACGTCGCAGCAACACGGCAGGGGGAGCGCTCGCTCGCCAACTGTTGATGCGACTTCATTTTATTTGTTGGCCTCCTTGATGCTTTCACTTGTCCAACTTTGGCTGTCCCTTGGCACGATCAAGCGCAGCGTACGGACGTTAACAGGATGTCGCTGGCTGGGTTCTGGCCGGCGCCGGTCTCTTTTGCAAAGTAGTCGAAAGAGCCGAAGAACCGGGGTAATGTTGCAGTGGTGGGACTTTACTTCCGTTAGCTACGTACATACAGTTGCAATCATACGTGTGTGTCACGTTTTTGTCATATAGCATCAATGGGCAGAGTTGCTTTCAAGAGGCACACAAAAAATATTGTACGTTCAAATAAACAACGTCTACGCAACATGTCTGTGAATACATGTAAATAGACATTTACTGATGGATGCGCCTGTGTGTGTGTGTTCAAACATGCCGCACACGTACACGTGAAGCAACAGCGGTGTTTTTAAATCCTTTATATTAAGTTCGCGTGCTTGCGTGCTTGCTTGCTTGCTTACGACCGTGCAAACCTTTCGGTCGTTTTTTAACCCACTTCCCGTGATCCAATCGAGCTGACATTTTGCACACAGACTCGTTGTGCGTGACAATTAATGTTCGTGAAATTTTTTTTCCAAAATTTTACACTGTTTAGGGAAAACAAATTAAATATTTAATTACCAATTGCTTAATACTGGCAGACAATCAGCTGACCCATAGGTGGCAGCCATCTCAAGCCAGAGGACGAGAGGACTCTAGCCGCCACGCATATAAAGGATTTATAGTGAAAACCTTTTTTAGGGTTAATTTTTTTAATATCGAGGTGTCGAGAGAGGGCCACACATGTGAAGGCTTACGCAGCGAGAAAGAGCGAAAGCATCGGGGTTAAGAAGAGAAGAGTGACAGAGTTAGAGAGATCGTGCAGGGGAGGAAGGGAAAACGACGTAGAACAAGAGACGGAAGAAGACAGAACAAAAGAGCTCATTCTCATGAGAGCAGATGAACAGATTATCTTAATAAGTATAACCCGTAAAAACAAAGTTTTTCACTCTAAATCCTTTATATGCGTGGCGGCTCGAGTCCTCTCGTCCTCTGGCTTGAGATGGCTGCCACCTATGGGTCAGAGATGATTGTCTGCCACCATTAAGCAATTGGTAATTAAATATTTAAAAGAAATTGCCTAAACAGTGTAAAAATGTAAAAAAAAAAATTCACGAAAATTGTCACGCACAACGAGTCTGTGTGCAAAATGTCAGCTCTATTGGATCACGGGAAGTGTGTTAAAAAACGACCGAAAGAGTTGCACGGTCGTAAGCAAGCAAGCAAGCGAACTTAATATAAAGGATTTAAAAAAGAGCTTATTCTCATGAGAGCAGATGAACAGATTATCTTAATAAGAAAGCAGTGGTTGTGTGTGTGCTGTGCGTGGTGGTGGTGGTGGGTGGTGGTTCCCCAGCTGTCCGCGTGAAAGCGAGAGAGATGAGGAGGGAGAGGGAGGGAGATGGGGCCACGGGACAGACAGACGGGCAGGTGGGGAAGCTTTCCGAGGGTCGATAAGTCACGTGACCTGACGGCTGGACGGGCTGTCACGTGACCCTCAAGCAAGAAACTCAGGTTCAGGCCTGTCCCTAATGTACACTTGCAATTACAAACATCAACACACAACAACAACAGTCATTCGCCACTAAGTGGCGGAGACGTCACCACGACGCTTGTGCCAGGCCAAGTGCACCTTGAGGCCACGTGAAGTGTCGAACGCCCGCTGGCAGGAGGTCACGGGGCAGACCCAGCAGGTGCCACGGGTCGACTGACTGAGACGAGTGGCTGATGCACCATCTGTGCCCCCTACTGTGCCAACTTGCTGTGCTTTAGCCACCCGGCGCTCCGCTCGTTGTGAGCGTCGCTCCTCCGCCCTCCGTTGTTGTTGGAGGGCGACTGCCTCCAACTGCCCAGTAGCGTCCTTCACGAGCCTCCTCCACTGAGGCCGATCTTGACACCGCTGGTACCAGTCATCGGCAAGTCCACTCAGCTCCACGTCCTCCTGTACCACATCACTCCATCTCTTCTCTAGCCCATGCCGCGCCCGTCTAGCCCCCTCGATCCGGCCGAACAAAAGCTGTTTAGGCATGCGGTGGCTGGGCATGCGGGCTACATGACCCAGCCAACGCAGCCTTGCCTGCCGGAGGAGCTCACTGATGGGACTTTGCCCAGATCTTTCAAGGACTTGTGAGCTCCTCACACAATCCAGCCTGGTTAAACCCAGGATGGATCGTAGGCAGGCCAGCCTAAATGTTTCCAACCGGCGAAGATGCTCCACTAGGGGGGTCCACGTTTCGCAAGCGTAGAGAAGGGAGGGAATGACCGTGGCTGAGAAGACCTGAAGCTTCGTGCGGAGCGACAGACCAGGTAGCTTCCACACAGCGTTACGCAACCGATGAAAAGATATTGCCGCTCGACTGATTCGGAGTGAGACCTCTGCTGATAAACTGGAGCCGGTCATAAGCACGCTGCCCAGGTATGGGAAACTCTCCACTCTCTCCACAACTGCCCCATCACCAATTGGGAGTTGTGGGGGTGGAGTGTCCGATGGTACAAAATACCCAGGCAGATGTTTCGTTTTGGTGGGGCTGATGGTAAGGCCCCACCTCTTAGTGGCACGCTCCAGTCTCAGCAGCAGCGTCTCCAACTCCTCTTCTGAATGAGCAGCTATTACCAAATCATCGGCATACATAACATGGTTGACCAATAGGGAGCCATCCCTTGATCGCACCCGGGCGTCGATCAGCCTCCCATTATATCTGTACCAAATGGAAATTCCCCCGGTACAGCTATGGAAGGCTTCACGAACTACGCGGTCAAAATAGATGTTAAATAATGTGGGAGCCAGAGGACATCCCTGTCGCACCCCAAGGTGTACAGGGAAAGGCTCCGACTCCCGGCCACGTAGTTTTACCCGGGCCCGCTCACCATCATGAAGGTCCTTAATGATCGTGAGCAGAGGGTCAGGGACTCCGAAAGCACGAAGAACAACCCAGAGCCCAGTCCTACTGATGGTATCATAGGCCTTGACCAGGTCAATAAAGCAGAGATGTAGGTCTTGTTGGAATTCCCTACACCTCTGCTGTAGCAGACGGACAGAAAATATGGCATCTGTGCAGGACCGCCCTTTCCTGAAACCGCATTGGGGCTCCGCAAGCCTCTCCTCAGCGTGCCTAGCAAGTAATCCTTGCCAGGACCTTACCCGGCACACTGAGGAGTGAGATGCCCCTGTAGTTGTTACAGTCGGTACGGTCCCCCTTCTTAAAGAGGGGGACCACCAGGGCATCCTTCCAGTCCTGCGGAACCCGTCCAGTGGTCCAGACTGTTGTTATGATGTCATATAGGGCAGTCTGTGCACAAACGCCACCCTCCCTCAGCATTTCGCTTGGGAGATCATCTCTGCCCGATGCCTTCCCTGGTCTCAGACTCCGGATCGCCCTCAGTACTTCCTCAACAGCTGGCACCTCAGCCAGCCACTCACAGGGGGTGACCTCTTCCAATATTTGAGGCACCGCAGCCTCAGCAGGGTTATCACCACTTTGTGCCATGATGTTTTCCTGGCTGAGAGAATTTCCCTCCCCCAGGACCTCACAGAAATGCTCAGCAAATCTGCAAACCTGTTCCTGGGGGTCGGAGATTGGATCACCGTTTTTTCCTCTAATGATGGTAATAGGTGTGGCGCTGCAGGTTACTTTTTTGATGGAGTTAAATAGTGATTTGTGATCACGGGCCACTGAGGCAGACTCCATCTCCTCAGCAACCCGCGACCACCACCCATCCTTACAGCGCCTTACGGCTCTCCGAACTTCCGAGCGAAGGCTGCGGTAAACCTCCTCATTCTCTGACGTGGGATGCTATAGGCGATGAGAGTGGGCCTGACGCTTTTTCCCAATTAACCTGAACACCTCCTCTGTCAGCCAGGGTTTCTGGGGAGGTCTGGACCGCGTACCCAAAGCAGCCATTGCAGCTGCATGAGTCACAGTCTTAAACCTCGCCCATTTCCCCTCGACATCAGGTGGAGTGGGGGACGATGCCAACCCCAGCTGCAAGCGATGATGAAATTCTCGCTTGCAACTTTCATCAGCTAACTGAGACCAGGCCACTTTTGGTTGGAATGGGATCCTGGGTGTACACCCACCACCGGAGTGGAAGAAAGGCAGGCGCATCTTACAGATGACTAGTCGATGGTCAGAGGACAGATCAGCTCCACGGTAGGTCCTGGTGTCAAGGACATGGGTTCGCATCCGCTGGTCCGTCACTATGTAGTCCAGCAGATGTTCTTGCTTGGACCCGGCATGTATCCATGATGTTGTGTGGATGCGCCGATGCCGGAAGAGCGTGTTGGTAATTACAAGCCCATGGGCTGCACAAAAATCTAGCAGCCTCCTACCGTTATTATTGAGCTGATCTGGCCCATGCCTTCCAATCACTCCAGACCAGGTACCAGCATCATGACCAACTCGGGCATTGAAGTCACCCAACAAGATGACTCTGTCCCGAGTGGCCACTTTAGCAAGCACCTGTGACAGGAGGTCATAGAAAGAGTCTGACTCATCGGCTTTGCCTGCATCCCTCCACGGATGTTCGTCTTCGGTGGGGGCATAAGTAACCACGACCACCACTCCTCGCCTCTGGTTGATGGGAAGGCGAGCCCAAAGTATCCTGGGACTTACAGCTTCCCACACCTCACCGCCACGCTCCCACGCCCCCTTCATTCTTTTGTTCAGAAGAAGAGCCACACCCTGTTGTTTGGCAGTCTCCTGCCCCGAGTAGAGGACTGTCCACCCCTCATGGTGGCAGGAGCCAGAACCGGTCCACCGGACCTCCTGAATGCCACAGAGATCCAGGCGGTACCGGTCCAGCTCCCGACAGAGGAGTGGCAGCCTCTCCTCCGCAGTGAGCGTTCGAACATTCCACGTGGCCATCCGCAATGGTTTTTTGTTGTTTCTGGAGGAGCCCCGAGGATGAAAATTCAATCTCCTGGCTCCGCCAAATGGGG